TGTGAGCAGCTCACAGACACACAGAGCAGCATGTACAGGCTGTGAGCAGCTCACAGACACACAGAGCAGCATTTAGCAGGGTTGCTGTCACTTGGCCAAACCCCTCAGCTCAGAGAGTGAGCACACATGACCACAAGGGAAATGACAGAACTGAGAGGCTCTGTAGCATATTGCCCAGGCACTGGAAGAAAACAATTTTTCCACACCTACTAGTGAATGCAATATTTTCTATTGTGTTTTCTGTACCACAGCCACAACACCAAGCCTTTCCTTTAACACTGGCAATGCACACTGAAGCTCTGAGTGTTGTGGCTGCCCTGAGGTGAAGGAAGTGATGCCTTGTGGCACAACACTGAGTCAGATCTCGATTCCTTTACCCATATTTGGCAGTGCACTGTTAAATAACTGCTGCTATCAATGCATCAAAAAGATATGGAAATTAGGAGTTACTATTGACATTAGCATCAACTGCCTTAGGTAGGGCAGGAATCCTTTTAAGCATCAGAAAAGAGCATCTGAATAGCCTGGAATATAGAAATTCCTGAATAAAGCTGAAGCACTTCCTAACAGTGGATTGTTTAGAGTCAACACGTGGCAAACAGCTGCCAACTCACATATTCATTTCATGTTCACATAGGTTCAAACAACTCTTGAGCACATGTTAAGGCACAAAGTATAATCATTTATTGTAAACAAAATGCCATAGCTTGGCCCTCAAGAGATGCTTTTTGTTTTCAAATTTCATAGTAAGAGAACAATGTAAGAAAGAATTTTAAATTCAATTATTAGAACTCCAAAGTTTACTTATGAACATCACATCACTGCTAATACTTCATTAACTATAGAGCTTTTCTCATTTTTACAGCCCTGTTCATCACAACCCCACAGGAAAGCCACTGTGTCCTCTTCAGACAAAACCTGACAGATGCTTTGTGTCAGAACACAACTTGTGGTTTTATAGGGGCACATTTGTCACAGACATCTTTTATGAAAAATCCTTTCCTTAGGATTTTTTCTCCTGAGAAGCTGAGAGGCCTCAGGAACAGAATGTAAACAATGGTTATCTGCTGCTGTGGAATGCAACAGGTGCATCTGGGATTGGGCTCATGTGGTTGTTTCTAATTAATGGCCAATCACAGTCAGCTGGGTCAGACTCTGGTCAGTCACAAGATTTTGTTATCATTCCATTCCTTTGCTTTCCTTGCCAGCCTTCTGATGAAATCCTGTCTTCTATTCTTTTAGTATAGTTTTAATATAAGATTATTAATATCATAAAAGAATAAAATATTAATTTATTATATTAATAATA